TAGGTGGAGGCCATCGCTACTAGGTGGAGGCCATCGCTGTTAGGTGGAGGCCATCGCTGTTAGGTGGAGGCCATCGCCATTAGGTGGAGGCCATCGCTACCAGGTGGAGGCCATCGCCGCCATCGCTATAAGGTGGAGGCCATGGCTACTAGGTGGAGGCCATCGCCATTAGGTGGAGGCCATCGCTACCAGGTGGAGGCCATCGCTATAAGGTGGAGGCCATGGCTACTAGGTGGAGGCCATCGCATTAGGTTGGAGGCCATCACTACTAGGTGGAGGCCATCGCTGTTAGGTGGAGGCCATCGCCATTAGGTGGAGGCCATCGCTACTAGGTGGAGGCCATCGCTGTTAGGTGGAGGCCATGGCCATTAGGTGGAGGCCATCGCTACCAGGTGGAGGCCATCGCTACCAGGTGGAGGCCATGGCTACTAGGTGGAGGCCATCGCCATTAGGTGGAGGCCATCGCTACCAGGTGGAGGCCATCGCTATAAGGTGGAGGCCATGGCTACTAGGTGGAGGCCATGGCTACTAGGTGGTGGAGGCCATCGCTACTAGGTGGAGGCCATCGCTACTAGGTGGAGGCTATCTCCATTAGGTGGAGGCCATCGCTACCAGGTGGAGGCCATCGCTACCAGGTAGAGGCCATGGCTACTAGGTGGAGGCCATGGCTACTAGGTGGAGGCCATCGCCATTAGGTGGAGGCCATCGCTACCAGGTGGAGGCCATCGCTATAAGGTGGAGGCCATGGCTACTATAGGAACAAGCACGCAGTGTTTTCCAATGACCGTTCCTCCTCCCATTCTTCTTCTCCGGGTCACGTCCACCTCCGTCCACCACGGAGCCCGCTGCGATGCCCAGAAGCAGCGCAGCGCCACAGCGCAGGAGAGCCACACGAAGGCCCAAGACGCCCATGGTGAAGAGCAGGGAGTCGAGTCCAGCTGCTTGGGAGGAGACCTGACTGAGAGCCTGATAAATTCTGAGATTAGTCACCAAATGCAAACAAAATACTGGGTTTTCGTGCTCAGCTGCGTACAATGACAAGAAGGGAATGCAACCTGTTGAGGTGTGTAAAAAGAAACCAAACCCACATCCCCCGCATGTCGAAGCTTCGGCCCCTGGATGAGTGCAAATTGTGACCCCAAGCCGCATCATTGCCAATGGTTTGTAGGGGTATGGCCCATGGCTCCCAAAAAGGGTATCTCGGAAAAGGCATCGGAGGAACAATGATCATTTCATCAGCTACACCACACCTGTGGGTATGTCTATGAAAGTATATATTGATTCCTGGAGCCAAACCCACGACTTACGGATACTTACGGACATTAGAGGACTCGAGCTCTTCTCCTTTTTGAATGCAACTCGTCCTGTAGGCCAGTACGCCCAGCACGGACACCCCAACTATTTCTCGGTGCCCGCTGTCACCTAGTCCCAGCCCGACTGCCGGGCTGCTATGAAGGCAACCACTGCAGAGCAGGGGGCACCAGTGCGAAGGAGTGTGAGAGACATCGGGAGAGAAGAACAGCTGCAAAACGGGCTGAACAGCCCCACAAGAGCACCTGAGAAGAGTGCCACTGAACAGCAAGGCTGCGAAGGCTGCGAAGTCTAGTTGGGTTCCAGAAACATTGATCGAAACATGTTTCCACCGCCCCAGCCCCAGGCACTTAGCCCCATGTTACTTGCAATCCATCAACACTGATCAGCATTCATCCACCTTGGTCAACACAAGTATCCCCAAAGTTGCGACTATTTGCCACTTGCTGCATGCAGAGCCATAGATTGCCGAGGGCCAAGAAGGAAAAATGAGTGCCAGTGACACGATCCATGAAACTTGCTACCGGACTGCACACGTTAAGTTTCACTAGAGGTTCCAAGTTGGCGTCTAATTCCAGCTCAGCCATACCGACTGTGCAGGAAAATGTCGCCCAAAAAAGCAGTCGGGTGAGCCATCCATCCTCCTGACAATCCCCAAAAGGCTGAAGACATCTCAAAACATCTTTGAAACACCTGTTTGCAACCCCTTCCCACGTTTCAGGCCCCACAGCCTGTGACCGTTGGCCCGAACGGTCCGCTTGGCAGAAATCGCTGGAGCAGGTCATCAGAAAACAAAGACTTCAGGGTGCCACTGCAAAGAAGGCCCAGGAGCAGCCAAGGGCTGGCCTCAGGAGGTTTGTGGATCACAAGCTAGTTCAACCTTTGGAGACTCAATGATTCAATTGAATTGTCCAAAGCCCGCCCAGAAAGACTCCATCAATTCTGGATTCATCTCCGTTTCCGGTGATTGCTTTGGGCCTTCAACTCTGCACATGTGCTTTGTGCTGACCAAACACTGCCTTTTTGCCCAAGCTCGACCAGTTCGAGCTGAACATTCTGAACAAGACCTACCATCACCCGTTTTGCACCTCTTCTCTGAGCCTAGAACGATACGTCATGAACATGCAATGAAATGGTGGCATGTTGTGTTGGTTCGGCCTGCGAAAAGGCCCGGCGAGAGGAATGAAGTAATGGAAGGCACGCGGGACGAATCCTCAGGATCCCTCAGGACATACGTTCGACTTCTCTGCAGCACTTCCCCGTCTGAATTCGCGAGTCAGAGTTCACAGTGCTGTTCTCAGCCCCGGTCTTTCACGGGAAGAAAACCTGCTCTGACTTCTTAATTTTTAAAGTACGTTTACTGACGAAGAACGAAGACTAGGAGTTCTGCACCAACCATGAGCGGAACCACTCCTCGTCCAAGCCCCATGGCACTTTTTTCCAAAAACCATGGCACACACGCCAAGGAGCATCCTCTAGGTTGTTCCAGAGCTCATCCACCCAAATCCACAGCACATGTGCCGAAAGGGACTGCACTTTCGGCACCAGGGGCCGTTCCCAAGGACCATCCTCATCTTCATCCCAAGCGTCAGGCTTCCTAGGTGGACGAAAGACTGTGCCTTCGACCTGGTTGCTCACCTACAAACCTCATAGCAAACGAGGTAGGGTGTGATATCAAAAGGTGTTATATAACTATTAGCATTGTTGTTCTTATTATTGTATACGCAGTGGCAAGGTCTGACGATTTGCTCACGTGTTGGAAGCTTTGTTTTTCAAGGTGACACCAGGGTGGTGCCAAGCCCATAGGACACAGCCAAAATTATGGGGAAAGGCTAAGCCAAAGTTTTGACCACCACAACTACTGTATGTACTTCATAAGTGTGCGTCAGAAATATACAGGTCAAAGACATGTTAGTAGCTTGCATGCTTCAAAGCAACTAAAAGAGTGTCCGTTTGGTTTCCTGTTTTTGCCCTCTCTGCGATGTTGGTTGAACCATAGTTCACATGTCGCTCTTACGCAATGCAGTCTCACCATGCGAGTCCGATCCAGGTCGATACTGTAGACCACCGCGTTACCACTGCGGGGGATTTCACCCTCACTCACCCCCAATCCAATCCCACCAGGATCTCCTCCCGGTCACATCATCTATAATTACTAATTACAGTACTCACACGAACGAAACCACCCCACCCCCCAGCCCAATTGCAAAGGAACAATTTTGGGTGGAATATCAGCCACGGGCCCAAAACAAGAATCTCCATGTCCTAGGGGGTCTTACCATTCAATTGGAATCAGTCGCTGACATCCAGGGACCTGAACCCATCTCGAGTCGAGCACCCGCAACCAGAAGGGGGGACACCGATGCTCCCTCGACCCTTGACAAGGTCGAACTGCAGGTGCCAAACATTGCCAAACCTCCCTGCCCACCCACAAGCTGCAATACTACTGATGACCTTCAGCCCCGGAAAACAAAAAAAAACACGAAAAACAAACAAACTGGGAGTTGGACAATCCAAACCTCGCATCAAACCATCCATCATCTCACCTTCATCAAGAAGAGCTTCTGAGCGTTCATGTCTGGCACCATCACCTTTGCTGCTTCCACTCGCCCACCTAGTGCCGCTGCCTTGGCACAGCAGCTGTCATGGCCCCAAGCAAGTCTCAAGGAGGCCCAAAGAATCGCCCCGAAAGCGCTGGCCCTCATGGCGCCAAAGCAGCGCTGCTTTGGCACTGGAAGAAAACAGTTCGGATCTTGGCAAACACCTTCTGAATCCTTCTGATGCCTTCTGTGAGGTTCTTTTCCTTTGGGCTTACCGTTGGGAATAACAAATAGAAAAGCTTGAGCCCCCTTCGCGGACGATTATATAGTTATGTATATACGAGTACCTTCATGTCCGCCTTCTTCGGGCGCCCGAATTGGACCTCCGAGCGGCTGACATTTGGTATCATGCACCACTCAAGTTACACATGGCAAGTCTTCAAGGTTGAGCACAATGATTCATACCAGGACCCACGGTCGGGGTTATTTTTTGGGGGGACACCCCTCAAGCTCTAAGGCGATGATCAATGGAAGCCCTCTTAAGGGGGTCCTGATCATGATTCTAGGTATTGGATGTGGTCAACTTTTGTTTTAGAATGGCTGCATTGATTCATGTCCTGATGAATGTCTAACAGCTGACTGTCAAAGTAGACTTGAGTCTGCAGATGGCAAAGCAACCAATATATTCAATAGATCCATCACCGAGTTGTTTTTGGGTCTCGGCACCGCATGTTTGGAGGTCTCAGTGGAAAGCGCGGTGTCGCTTCATTGAGAGCATTTAGCCACTCTCTGGTTATATACATGGTCACGCAGGATCCTAGATTCCTCGATGTTCCAAATCCTTATGAATCCAGCTGATGTCACTGCTGTTGGGTTTGCAAGGGCTTGCAACACTTGAACTACTGTTACTCCCAAGCGCAGTCGATCAACCAGAGTGATAGTCCAATCCATGGAGTCCCATGCAAAAAAAAACATCGGTTGATGATGACCTAATTACTCCATCACATGTCAATGTTCAGAGGGTCATTCTTTCGCAGTTGCACATCAAGAAGAGTGCCAGATCGTGTCAAATCCCAAAAAGACCGGTGCAGTGGCCAGTTTGCCAGATCCGTCACGACCTACCTCCGTCGGATGCCGAACCTGTCCGACTCTGCACCTCGCCTTCCTCCCGCAGAGTCGCTTCCTGAAGGCGCCCGAGCCGTCGTGACAGGGGTGCCAACGAGCGATGGGCGAGAAACACTGATGGGCTGCACTCACTCATATCTCTTTCATCTTTCAACCGCTTTGTAATAGGTGTGACCGTGTGACTGTCCATGAGGGGGGCATCAGGATCTCGGAGCGAAGATAGGGAGATGTCCAAACATTCTAACATCTGTAGGTCTTTGCTTTCATGTGGCCATGTCCAGTCTCAGGTTCACTCCTTGCATGGCAAAGGACCAGCGGGCTGGATGGATGTGTCCGATACGTGATCTACCCTACACTTCCCTACACTATACTGCTGGATTTACATTGGGCTCTTTGAGGTCCAGGTCATTGAACATCTCCACACTGCCGCAGCGCCCGCTTCAGAATCGCCCCACCACTCTGAACCCGCCCCCGTCGAAATCCGCAGGACCCATCTAGAGACTGGCCAATTCATGCTGAGGAAAGGTTCAACTTCCACAGTTGGCCTGTCATGGCCTCTCCACTTGCACCAAAACACGGTGTCGAGACACGTCATATGTGTGATCACAATATCAACATATTGTCACTTTCAGAACCCAAAGTTGCTGAAGGTTCCCTGTCTTTCTTATGTTTTTTTTAGTTAGGAAATTTCTCCAAACCCGAGGCCTGAGTTCGGAAACATCTCCAAACGCAGTGACTGAATTTTGGGAAATCCCGAGTTTGGAGAATTATCGAAAACTTATCGCCAGTGACACTAACAATGTGTTGGCAAAGTTTTATCTATCAATCCTTCTCTTGAAGCTTGGAGGGCCCCCCAAACACACAGTGACTGACTCTTCAAACATCCTGAGTTTGGAGAATTTAGCTTGAAGGACTCTCCGAACTCAGTGGCTCAGTTGGGAGATGTTGGGAGAATTCCTGGTTGAGTGCATTTTGAATTAGATAACTCTCCAAACTCAGGTTTTCCTCAACTCAGCCATAGGGTTTCAAGACTTTGAGCGTAAAACTCAAGAATTCCCCAACTCAGCCAGGCAGCCACCGAGATTGAAGATGTTTCTAAATTTATTATGTAAATTCCAATTGTGTTGTCATTCAATCTCCAAGCTTGTTGACGGACTAGGACCACACACACATATATATATAATATATGATTCTTCCGGTTGCCATCGGTGACAAGCACAAGGCCCACAAGGCAGGCTCCAATTAGCCCAAACCCAGGTAGTATAAAGTTTTAGCACTGTTTATCTTTATTGTTCGATGGGCAGAACACTCCAAAACACTGGCACGTGTTTGTGCATGTTCCAGTGCTTCCGAGGGGAACCGCGCAGGTGAACATGATGGCCAAAGAATGGTCATTAAATATATTAAACAAACAGCAACAAGTGCAAATAAGTGTCCAAGGGCCATAAGGTCTCCCTAGATCTATGTCTGTATGTATGGGCGCATATGTGTCTGTGTGTATGCATGTATGTGTGAATGTATGTGTGTGTGTGTCTGTCTGCATGTGTGCATGTATGTATGTATGCATGTATGCATGTATGTCATCTATGTATGGTATGTACGGTATGTATACTGTATTGTATTGTATGTGTGGTATGCATGCAAAGCCACAGAAACAACTGTTATAGAAATACAGCACATAGAAAGTAATAGAAATACTGCTAGGAATACTTTATGTTATTGATTGTTTTTGCTTATGTTATTGCTTGCCCTTAGAAACACCCCGACCCAGCCCAAAACGACCATCCCTGCCCAACACGATCCGCACCAGATCCGAGAGCGAGGGTGATCGGCTTCGGCTTCGGCTTCGCTCCTGCGTTTTGGGACCAGTTCCGCCGTCGAAACGAGTCCAAGTCCAAATTCAGTCAAATGATTTCAAGTGATTCGTCGTTTCCAACGGACCACGGCACGGCAAACATGAAATAATTCCATGTCTTTTTTGGGTTTGGTGTCGCGCGGTGCCGTCCTTCCATCACGTTTGGAAGTCTAAAGAAACACGTGGAACCCACCTGGAAGCCACTTGAAGAAGAACCAAAACGTGTCATAGTGTGCCCCACACCAACGGAGTTTCCATTCCCAACCTAGACTAGACAAGCTTCCTAGACACAAATCCGGCCATGCACCCCGAATAACAGGGACGATTAGTGGGGGGGCCAATCCATAGCAATCCATGGGTTTGCCAGGGGTGTGGTATTCACCGGCCACCTGCCACATCTCCTTCTCCTTCGCCTCTTCCTCAGCCTCTGAAGGCTTCATCGTAGCGCGTGCAGCGCTGGTTGGACGAATTGATCATGTTGTTTGAGTAACCATAAGCCAGCTACCATCAGCTGCCTATGACTTGCCTGAGAGTTTGAGTGGAGTGGATCGGGCCAAGTGATTTATCTCTCTTTCTTCCTTGCTCTCTCTCCCTCTCTCTCTCTCTCTCTCTCTGTCTCTATCCCTATCTGTATGCCTCTTCTCCTCCAGGGCACAAATCCCACCATCCAAAATCAGGGCAAAGCTGAGGAATCACGGATTGAAACCATGCTAGCTAGAGATTGCTAAGAAGTGGGTATTGCCACATAAAATAACAGTACAACGTAAGGACCTCCAAGTGGTGCCAATTGTATATGTCCTTCGGCTTGGGATTTGTATTTTAAAGAGCTGACTACTACTGGGCTTTACGTCTAAATAGCTGGATCCGAACGATACGAGAGTTTGCTTGGAGCTTTCGGCCGGTGGCACACGGGAATAGCAAGACTTCACCACCCCGAATTCTGGAAGTGAAGAGGGTGATTGGACGTGGATGTCATTCCAAGCATCGCAGCCTCTCATCCAGACTCCAAAACCAAGACTCGCGAGGATTCCATGCCCGCCACCGTCCAGCCCAGCCCCGCCAACCAGAAAAACACTTGCTGCGCCCCACATGCCTCGCCTGGCGAGCCTGTTCCGAGGCCGCCTTCTCGGCCTCTCGACGGAGCTGAGCGTCCTTCTCCTCCTGCAAACGCCATTGCTCCATCTCCTGGGCCAAGGCGACGCCACGCAACGCCACGCAACGTGGCGCCGACGTACGATGGTACGACTACGACGGGACACACGAGCCCCATGAAGGCCCGGGTGGCTGGCGCCCTCGCACATGACCATCCACCCGCCCTTCAAAAATCCCATGGCGCGACTCTGGTCGACTCCAAGGCTGTGCTAAGTGAACAGCAATCTGACAAAGCCACGAAAAGCAACAAACACAGAAAGAAACATGACTCACACAGCAATACGCAAAAGAGCTGCAAACCCAAATGGCAGTTTATACTGCAATGCCAAACAACACCAGCCAGTTAAAAGAATCAAACGACTTCCAGAAGATACAGTTACAGTGGGGGTAGATGTCTTTCAATCCAAATGGGAGTTATATATATATATATATATGTGTGTAAGTAAATTTCATCGTAAATATATATATATATATATTATATATATATATGTGTGTGTGTGTGTAAAAATCAATCGAGAATCAAGAGTCTACATTACTGAAGATCGGTTGGAGGCCATGGTACATATATAATTAATTATCTTGATTCCATGGATATCTCACCATATCGTCACCCACTCCCACCCAATCCTCAGGCGTGACTGCTTCATCATCACTTTGCTTCTCATCAATCTCTTCTTGCCACCTGACCGGCGTGACTCGCGCAGGACAGTGCCGAATCCGTTGCCTGTTTGATCCTATTGGCAACAAAGGAAGGGAATATGGAAATGGGCAGGCTCACTGATTTGCATCAGAATCAGTGAGCCTGCCAGTTTGGCAGCTCAAGGAAGCCCCTAGTCAGCGATGCCCAGAAGACCGGCGGGCCAGCAAGACCATAAAAATCAAAAAAAGAACCAGTGTCGAAACCGAGTCGAACCTCACCCAATTCATGACCCTCTAAGACCATCTTCGATGAATGCGTTTGGACTTGGCAGATGAACTGTGGTGGAGGTCAAAGTAGAAAGTCCTCGTCCTATTGGCCTTTGTTGCAGCTTTG